TCATCAGAGCTTGTTCTAGATGAAAAAGCATGAAAAAGCTCGGATAACAGAACAAACCAAAATCTTGCTATATGTTAACAATCTTGTTTGTTCTAAGGAGTGATTTCAGAGCTTGCCACCAAAACGAACAAATGAAACCGTGCGCACGGATCCCACGAAACACCATCACCGACTCCGGTCAGCGTCTTTTTCGGCCATCCAGGGCCGGACACGATCCACCGACATCGGATGGTGTCGGGCAAACGATTTCGGGAAGACCAAGAAGACATGTGATCTCAATTTGTGATGAAACAAGAAAGGAAGAATAGCCTCCTTTACTACTAGCTTCTTGTTACTACTAGTAAGGCACTTGTTACTAGAAGCGATGCACTTGTTACTAGTAGCTTCTTGTTTCTACTAGTGTGATGTCATATGTTTGTTACCCCACACTTCTCTCATCCTCTCTCATTGACCCCGAAAGCGCCTGCCGGAACAAGTGAAGCTGGACAGTCTCTTATTTTTCAGATGTGGTGCTTATTCAGTGGTTTGTTCAACCAAGTCAGAGTCACTGAGTAAACATTGAAGAAATGTCGTTCCACGACACAGTGGAGAACATGGGCCCCTCAACCTTCCTTCCTGCAAAACAAAACCACTAGCTCGGACAGCACAGAAATCCAATGCTGTCCACATGTTAAGTTGATCTCGGCAAGAGTCCCTTTGGGAGTTTCCGCATGGCAAGAGACGGTCCGGCCTTCCTATCGTACGGGAGTGGAGATGGACATAGATGGACCAAAGGTTGGTCTAGTCCGGGAGGTGTTCGAAAGAAAGAGTCGAGAGCTGCTTGTTGGGAGTTCCGTTTAGCGCACCATTTTGGCATGACCCGAAGCGCCGCTCCTGTACGAGTTGGATACACTGGACACTTTTCTGTGCGCCACGCACTGCAAAGAGAGGAGCTGTGCTGGATCAGTTCCAACAAAAGCAGTGCAAATGATTGTTAGAATGTTCGACGCTGCGAAGGTCACCCAAAGCATGGGCACTTCAATGGCCGAGCGACAAACGAGAATTGTAGATAAAACATTATAACATATGATAAAACTCTCGTCTTAAAGAAAAAGACTCCAAAAAAAAGTCAAAAAGGGTCGAGAATGCAACATATAGGCCTGCTCATGCTGTAGTCCGAAATCAACGATGTCGGTGTTGCGCTGCACAAGGGAGGAAGGGTGGCATGGCAAGTACTGCTGACAACATCTTGACTACAAGCAGTCCATCTCCAATAAATAGCAAGTCTGAAATATGGAGAATGTCCTGTTCGACATAATTCATCATCCAAAGTGATCAAGCAATTATATATATATATATAATGGACGCACACATCCGGCAGGAAGAACAGCAAGCAAGGGCCCCCGTCCTGATATGCCATGCATCGAAAGAAGAACATTGCCAGGACACTGGTAAGAACCACACACACGAAGTCCATCTGTCATTGGCCAAACAACTTGCAGTGGTGAAATGGGAAACCGCATTCGGGCAGGTGCGAGACCAGTTGAAGCAAGCGGATTTCCGGGCAACTGAGTGAACCAACGCCATCAAAACCACCTCGGACACGTCAAATCCATGTGACTTGCCACATGGATGGTGCTACTAGCAGCTTCTTGTTACCAGTACGATGACCATCACCCCGGTGCTCGTTGGACCAAACCTGGGGGCTGAGGGTGATGGATGGCGAGGTGAGCGCGTCCACGTGGAGTGCAGAGGGGGGAAACAACAAGAAGGGGTACGGCGCCTGCGAAGCTTAGCTCCAACGACGATGCTGATTAAAGACTTGGATTTTTGGCACATGCTTGAGGCACATGGCCTCTCATCCTTCGCATCTATCATGGCGCAGAAAGACTCTGTTCAGGCGTGCGCAACGTGCGCCTGAACGCGTGTCGCTACCGCTGAAGAGGTGAGTGGCGCCTCTGAATTCCACCCACTCGGTGTGCTCGGGTTCGGTGTGCTCTGCCCAGTCTCGACATGAAGCGCTGATGAGAGGCGCTTGGACATGAGAACATCTTCCTGCATGGTCTTCGATGTTCGTCGAAAAAACGTCACGACCTCTCAGGTGATCCAGACGACCAGTCGGGTGTCGTCCGCATCGTGTGATTTCCACGGTGGAGGGCGCCGTAAGACATCGTTGGGGGAAGCACGGGAGCGTCGGAGCGACATTCAATGGCACGGCGACATGTGGCACGGCACGACGGCGTCGGAGCAGCTTCGGTAAGCAGCCGCCATCCGCATCCTCATCCTCTCCAGAAGCTCTAATCTCCCGCGTCCTCGCTTTCTTGATTTTGCACCGCACCAAGGCGAAATCGATCGATTGAAATTGAAAGAAACTGTTGGAACAACACCGGGTGAAACCGAAGCCAGGTCAGCCTCTACACACACGGGGTTGCATGCTGGACCAATACTTGACTTATCTGGGGATTACAACCCACATGGAGCTGGGGTCAAAAAGGTTCCTCATCATGTTCTTTTCAAACCAATTTTGTACCTCTGTTGCCATATGTACAGTTACAGAGGTGTGACCACTAGTAAATGACCCTAAATGTTGGTCTTTCATTCTCTTCTCTCTCCTGACCAAGTGAAAGCCACCTGAAGCCAATCTTTAGAATGTGAAGACATGTTCATACAAATTCTAGGTGCTGGCCTAGTGTTAAAACATGTTGAAACGTGCAGTCCCTGAACGCCTTCTGCATTCGTTTCATATCCGGTTCTCTTTCCGTCGCATTTACACCCAACTGAATCGGACACCCTCCGAGGCTCAAAAGCACCAAAGCATCCACCGGCCACCCCCGCCGGCATGGAGGTGTAGAAGACTGTGTCTGTTTGGTCCAGGCACCCCGGGAAATCTCGAGAATGGTCTGACCCGGCTTCACAAGGTAATTGCATTGGCCCCGTCACGTCGGCGACGGATCCTGTGAGGACCACCCTTGGGTGGGACTCCGTCTCTCTTGAGCTGTTCATTAGGAACGAAAAGAGAAAGTATCCCAAGAAGCACACCCAGCTTTCAACTTTAGAAAAGCTCTTAGTGTTTCTTGCTCTTGTTTGCTTTGTATCTCTTTACCATATACAGTTCATGTCCTTTTTTTGCACTGGCACTGGCACTCGTTTTGGTCGGTTGCACAAGTGGGTGATGAGTTGAGTGACGGGGTCGACGGAAGATGACGGACGTCAGCATTCATACAGTCCAATGTTCACCAAGGGCCAGAATCACAAGATAGATGACCAGACAAGTAAACACCATCTGTTTCATGACAAGTAATAGATCACAACATCTCATGGAATACAAAGCACATGCAGAACCCGGCAGGGCCCGGCCAGGGCCGTGCACCCCGGCAGGACCAGTCGGGCGACACGCGTCTATCACGAGTGTGTCGGCCGGTGTCTCAGGCATCCACCTCGGGACGTCCGCGCGAGGGAGGTCGTCGCATGGTTTTGGAAGTGGAGCGACACATAGACATGGATCCCATGGGTCATGGCTCCCATGGGCACCCGGTAAAGACCCACCGAAACAATTCGAGAAGGAACCGATTCCTCTTCTTGGATGTCAACCTTCGATGGTTTGGTGGAAGAGGTTTTGACTCACAGCCACATCTACCCTGGGTAGATTAGATCCGATGACCGGTGGCAGTAGATGGTACAAGGCCTTTCGCCAAAACAAAGTTATCCGATTTGACCGACTGTTGCTGGTAATGGGACACAACCTACATTGGATGGCATGGCCCCTAGGAAGATAAAGTTCTACAAATAAACAGAGGGTTCAAAGTTTAACATCCATAAACCATGTGACTGGACGGGGGAGCATGTCCAAATCCTCACAGCGCTCTGAGTTCTTGGCTCCCTCTTCCAGATCTTCACCTGAATGACACCGACATCGGTCGCAGCAAACGATGATTCGATCCAACATGATCCAACATGTCCTTCCAAAAGCACAGATTTGACCGGATTCTTCAGCTGCTCTTTTTTGGGGTGTGTTTTCTCATGCATTTCTAAGAGAGATGACCCTTCAATCTTAGGCAAGACTAGCCCAACGGATAAAATGTCCTCCTTCGTGCTTCGTATATATCAGCCACGAAGCCACAGCCCAGCCTGGCTCACTCCTTGCCCAGAGAACAATGGTGCTCCTGAACACCGCAAGTCGCGAGTCGCGAGTCGCTTCTCAAGATGGATAGAGCTTCTCAATGTAGTGTGTTAGTGTTGATATTGTCTTATATTCATGTACTAATACACTACAGTAGTAATTAGTGATATTAACTAGTATTGATTAGTAGTAATTAAGTATTGTATTAGTATTGATATTGGTCATGTACTGTATGGTCAACCATCCACCAAAACCTGCGTGCCTCTAGGAACAGGGGACCCCACCTCGTGCGAAAAGGATTCGACCTCGGTCAAAAACCTCATGCGGCTCCCATGCGTTCCCTTCATGAAAACTCTTTTGGTCGCGGAAGACCTCAAAAATGCAGACTTGATCCCTCTCTTCGGTATGCAGCAAGAAAATGCTGGCTCGTTGCGAGCAGCATCATTTCCAGAGTTCTTCCTGAGCGATGATGCATCCAACTGCAGCAGCACCCAATTGAGAAATGTTGTTGAACATCACCTTCCCTACTTAAGCCGATTGGAGGAAGAGGGTGTGAGATCTTAAGAAGCATTGAACTCCTTTCTGTAGACCTCAAGTTGCACCAAAAAAAGGATTTCTGTCCAAGTGGGGAGAATAATTTCCAGTGGAATCATTGGACCCATGTCGTTTCTCTTGGGGTGCCCCAAGAGTAGCCACCAGAGCCCCAGAGCTCCGCCGGCCTTCCAGAGTCACCTCCCTGATCCAGCCACCCTGGCAGTTTGGGAGTCGTCACGGCAGCAGGACGTCCGCGTCATCGCTACCGGGCAAGACTCCCCCCCGGAGGCCGGGAGCTGGGAACTAGGTGAGACCCACCCTGTCCAAGATGGATCCGAACTTAGCAGTGATTGTGAGATCCATCTTGGAGAGGGTAGAAAACGAGTCCATCTTGGAGGTAGAAAGCGAGTGCTTAAAAGATTTGCAGTCCCACACCAGTGATTGTCAGACTTGATCCTTCACCTGGCCCTTGAGAAACCCTGTTCCAAAGGGGGACGGCCGTAGCCGCCCGTGACCTCTCTTTTTCCCAGGCCCTGCGCCGGGTGAGTTTTCAATAAACATAAAGTAACCACAGGGCCACAGGGCGTCCAATCAACATAGGACGTCCGTTTCACCACAAATTCCCAAGAGCGCTGACATTAGAAACAAATCATCAAAGACCCCTCACCTTACACAAGCCCCGAAAAATCATCATTGGGATCTTGGCTCCCCACCCTGCATCGAAATCTCTTTTTCTCCCGAAGCGGCGCTCAAATGCTGCCCTTCACCGTTCTCTTCCCTCGAAGGGTCGGCTGTTGCTCCGGGTGGCCTGTCGCCAAGCTCTTCTCGGCCGGACAGGCTTAGGACAGGCTGTGCCAAGTCCCGATTCACGTTAGCAAAAGTCTAAAACCACAGACATCATCAGAACGGTCCTCTGGCTGCCTGGGCCATGAAACGAGATTCGCTGGAAGAGCAATCATATGAAACGAGATTCGCTGGAAGAGCAATCATCAAATGTTAGGACTTATACAGGTGTCTGTATATGTGTCTGTCCCAACCTTCACCTGTTTCGCCTACTGTGCATGTACCTCTTCACGCAAACAAGTGCAGAATGCACAGAAAAACTACTTTACTTCGAGTGATCCCCACCATGACATTCATACATTTTGTTGTATCTTGCTTCAAGTAATCCCCGTGTTTCACCTGGCATTCTATCTGGCATATCTTCTTGCATTCTATCTGGCAAGCTATCTAGCATACTATCTGCCATTCAATCTGGCATTCTATCTGGCAATCTATCTGACATACTATCTGGCATACTGTCTGGCATACTATGTGGCATTTTGTCTGGCATACTATCTGTCATTCTATCTGGCATATCTTCTGGCATTCTATCTGGCATTTGATCTGGCATATTTTCTGGCATTCTATCTGGCAATGTATCTAGCAATCTATCTGACACACTATTTGGCATACTATCTGGCATATCTTCTTGCAGCATTCTATCTGGCAATCTACCTGGCATTCTATCTGGCATTTTATCTGGCAAACTATCTGGTTGAGGTCCAGCGGTGCACACTGCGATCGGATCCTTGCGGTTGAGGTCCAGGGGTGCAC